AATGCCATACACACATATACAGTGCAGAACAAAACACCCAGAAAAGTATTACAGTTCCTGTCTTGTCTAGCTCAGTTCACTGTGTGTGAAAACACAGCCCTCTGCCATCTGTGCGGACCTGCCTCATGTCCAGGACAGGGTCTATTTTGGCAAATGTTCCCCTGGGAACCTGAAAAACAGCTCCTCTCGGGGTAGGGCTGTGGAAGACATTAGGCACGTGATTGGGATCTGCAGTGGGCTGATTTTTCCTGCATTTGCTTTCAATAACCAGGGCAAACATTTTCAATCTCCAACAGATCCATTGTTGCCAGCGTCTACTCCTTGTGCCCATTCTCCAACACAGGCACCTTTCGTGCCATCTTATATGCCAGCTTCCGTAGTCCAGAAGAAACCCCTTAGTGTTGCCTTTCTGGTTGGACATGCTTTTAACTTTTGCTTCTCTGAAAAATCTTTACTTTGCCTCAATTTATTTTTTCTTTTTAAAAGAAGGAGTCCTGCTGTTTTGCCCAGGTTGGCTGTAAACGCCTAGGTTCAAAGGGCCCTCCTCTTGCCCCACCTTCTCAGTAGATTGGAGTAGAAATGAGTGTGTCACTAGGCCTGGTGTGTGCCTCCAATTCTGAAGAATAATTTCACTCAACCAAAATTCAGCCTTGACTTAATTAATTAATTAATTAATTAATTCAGAAAACTGTCAGTGTATTCTCAAGTAGGTGCCAGGTGCATGCATGAGATTCAAAGGTAGACAAAGCAGAGCCCATCCTTGTTTTCTGAGAAGGGAGATTGTGGATGGCAGAGGAAATTGGAGGGGCAAAGGCTCTGTGGCTGCAGGAACTTGAGAAAACGTTAGTGAGACTGGCATGCAGTTGACTTGGAGGGCAAGATGAACAGCCATCTTCTCAGAGAAGACTGGGTTGTGTCTGGGCTGTGAAGAGCCCCTGAATGGTGGACAGAGAAGGGTCAGAACCAAGATGAGAGTGCTGGAGCACTGGCTGGACTTCTCTCAGATCACATCCAGTCCCAGAGAAGCAGGATTCAGTGGTGGATTGAAGGGAAGTCTTGGCCTTGGCTTTGAGCAGCAGGTTTCAAGCCTGTCCCTATTCAGCTGTGTAACTGTGGAATTAGTTTCCTCATCTTGAAGGACACAATATAGCTTCTGCCCCACAGGTCTGTGGGTGGCTCACAGGGAGCAAGAGGTTTTTTGAACCCAGGACCTGCAGTCTGTGAGAGCTCAGATGAGCTATCATTTCCATGGTCAGGATTTTGAGGGTCAGAGAGCACAAATCACCTTCCCTAGGCTGCACCGCCACAGAACAATGAGACAGAGACTTCAATGGCAACTCGAGTGACAGACCCGGTCATACTTCCCATTCCACAGACAGGGTTACTCTCGTCCTTACCTTGTGTCAGGCACAGCCTGAGGTGCCCACAGAAGATATAAAAACCCTTGCCTTGGTGCACTATACATCCTAGTGGGGACACAGAAGCTACACAGAATAAAGAGGCAAGTGAAGTGACTAGGGTTGTGGAGAAAATCAAGTTGGCAAGGGGGAGAAGAGTGGACTGATGGGTTGGCATGCTCAGTAGGTGGAAAGGCGACCCTTGAGCAGAATTTGGAGTGGAGAGGGAAAGAGCCATGAGGAAATCTGCAGAAGAGCATCTAGACAGAGGGATAGACCATGCAAAGGCCCTGGGGCAAGCATATGCCTGAGGTGTTCAGGAGCAACAAGGAGGCCAACAAGAAGGAAGAGCTGATGTGCTCTGGATACTGATGTGCAGAAAAACACCATCTGCACCAATATCTGTGCTTGTGGTCCCTAGTTGACTGAGGCTGTGAATAACTGGGTTCAAAGAGTTTCATTCCTGTGCCCCATTGCCACCATGTTGGTCACTGCAGGAAGGGACTAGTCCCAAACCCAGGGTGGGAGCCTACTGGAACTTTCTACCAACGTGAACATCTCCAGATAATTTCTGCCCTGGACAGGTCTCCCTGACACACCTTTCCCAGAAGGACCTGCTCATTGGTTCCTGGACAGGTGCAAACTGAGCCACAGGAAGCTCATTTTATGAACAGAAAGATAGATTGTGAACAGAGAAAGGACTAGGTTGTACCCATAGGTACCCAATTAACAATGCTAGTCTGCTCTTTAGTAAAAGCCCATTTTGGTGACCACCAGGAGCTGCTGAGGCCAGATCCAGTGCTGAGGGGCAAGTGGCACAGAGGCAAATCCTTGGCCCAGAGGACCGTTTGAAGCAGCCTTGAACATATTCCCTGGGTAATAGCTTCTCAGGTGTAAAAACAGAGTTCTAAAGGTAGGAAAGAGGTCCTTTTGTTAAAGGAAGTGGGAGTGGGGTAAGTTGTTATGAATAACACCCCCAAAGAGGAGCAGGCCACTGGGAGGTGGTGAGCCTCCCATCACTTGAGGCATGTACAGACTACTCTTGTATTTGTCAAGGAGGCCATGGGGAAAAAATTCCACTAAGGAAGACTGGCCTGCTCGACTTCTTTGCAGGCTCTGATGGAGGGGCTTCCAAAGGTCTTAGACAAATCTGCTGTCTCAGGGCTGGAGAGATGGCTCAGCGGGCACTGGCTACTCTTCCAGAGGATCTGAGTTCGGTTCCCAGTACCCATATGGTGGCTAACAACTGTCTATAACTCTGTTCCAGGGGATCTGTTACCCTCTTCTGACCTCCATGGGCATTGCACACAGAGGTACACTTACATATATGCAGGCAATACTCATACACATAAAATAAAATAAACAGTATTTTTAAAAAACTGCTGCCTCAAAATATCTGCCTTTTGTTTGTGATTGGAACCTTAGTTGCATTTTAAGTGCCAAGTCTGGCTTTCATGACACTAGGGGAAGAACCCCTCAGATAGGGTGGGTTGGGGTGATTGGGTATATTGCATCAGTTCTGGTGTGACCTCTGACTTTACATATTTCTCTGTTTCCTGAAAAAACAAACATGCAAAAACTCATGATCACAGTTTAATAAAATAGCCAAGTATCCAGCAGTTGAGAAGACTGGACCTTCAGTGAAGAGCATGTGTGGTAGATATGGGAGATGCCTGCTAGAACCTCGCCAGATGGAGGGCTCTTAGAACACCAAGCAGGGTCAGGCTCATGATCCTTGTGAGGAGCAATGGGCATTCAGAGACCAGCCCTTGAGCCCTGTGTGCCTAGACTAGCAGTGACCAGTGCTTTGGGGCTGGTTCACATGATGAGTTTTACCCATGCATACTCCATTTAGTCCCAAGTAAGAAAAAAGCTATGCTTGGCCTTAGAGCTAGCTTGTGCTCCAAAACCAGTGTCCTTCCTGTCTCCTTGGCCTGCTTGCCCCACCCTAGCCATGCTGTAAAGACTGGGACCATCTGTGAGATGGTCCTATAGAACTGAGCCAGGCACCTGTCAGGAGATGCTTGGTACTGTTGGTGTTGGGGGCCAAGGTGCAGAGAAGTGGCTCACAAAGAATCAGGAAGCAACTGAGGTGGCTAATGTCCTGTCTGGCCTTTGGCAGGCTGGGTGCTGGAGCAAATCTTGGAATTTCTGGTTTTATTTCTCCATATGTCTAACTGGCTACAAAAAAGGTGCTCTCTTGGTACCCAGTCATCTAAACTCCCACTTGCTCTTCCCATTCCATCACCACTTAAGCGTTCATCAGTCTTTTCTCCATTCTCAAAGTTCCCCCAATGCTGTCCTGTTTCCTGGGCTGCCCTGTGTTGGCACTTGGTACTTTTGGCACCTCTCTAAGCATTCTAAAGCAGTGTCCTTCAGTACCATCTTGCCTTGCCCCCATACTTTCCCATCACAGATAGAATTCTTTGCCTTTTATCTCTGGAGACATTGAAGTTAGGCATCTTGGGCTACTGCCCACAGTATCATCAGTATCAGAAATGTTCAGCAAACATGTGGGAGCAAATGAGAGAATAAATGATGGAATGAGTGAAGAAGGAGGTGCTGAGGGCTTTAGGGCACCCAGAAGAGCAATGTTGGTGTAGGGAAGCTGTGGTTGATCCAGCACCACTGCTGGGTAGGGGTAAGGGATACTGACCTGAGCTTAAGGCCAGACGGTAGAAGGGGCATAGGAAGCATTTATCTCAGGCTGTTTCTAGGCTTGGAAGCAGAAGACACAACCCAGCTCTTGCTGCTAGTAGCCTCAGGAGCTAGTTTCCTGTCTTTATGCATAGGACTGCAATTTGGTAAAATAAATCATGGACCACAAAGGTTGCCAAAGGGGTAAAGGTATTTTCCTTTTACTATAAATGGGGGTTCTTATGAGAATCTTGGAAAACTGTAGGTTTAGAACTGAAAAAGGAGAAAGGGCATATACACTTAGACCTTAAGCATGGCATATTGTTATTTTCTTTTTTGTGTGTGTGTGTTTTTTTTTTTGGTGTTTTTTTTGAGACAGGGTCTCCCTGTAGCCCCAGTTGGCCTGGAACTCACAGAGGTCTGCCTGCCTTTGCCTCCCAAGTGCTGGGATTAAAGGTGTGCGCCATCACGCCTGGCTTATTTTAACATTTTTATTTGAAATATCTCCATATAAAAGGAATGCTGTCTCTCTGTTGTCAACTTTCACAGCCAATGCTAATTATGTCAGACTTTCACAGCCAATGGTAAATCCTTGGTCCTCAATTGGAAAGAGGCTTCAATCACACTCTAGGGTGAAAAGCTCCTTTTCCCTTTCCATAATTTTCCATCTCTTTTTATCCTGCCTCACTCAGTCCCACCGCAGCTAGCCAAATGGTGGGAAGCCAAGTAGGCTGGAGAATGGGGTGCAGACATGAGGCCAAAAGGTGCATGGTGGGAACCCCAATCTTAGAGAAGCCGTCCCGCGGCCTTTAGGAACCGCCAGGCTCTCTTCCGGACCTTTCTGAGATTGTAGTCCTTGGTTTACTGAAATGTGGGAGTGCAGCCTTCGAAGCAGTGTTCGGAAACTACATTTCCCAGAAGGCTAGGGGAAGTTGGGGTCACTGGGAAAGTCGCCCCGGCCTGCCGCGCTTCCCTAAGCGTGATGGGGCCGGCTCCGGCGCCGAGTGGCCGCGCGACGACCTCCCGTGGCAGCTCTAGAGGTGGAGGAAATACCAGACTCGCGGGGTGGAAAGAAATACCAGCCCGGCAGCGGGACCTATGAGTAGCTCGGCGGCGGAACACGACTGCTGCGGAGGCCTCAGCAATATCGATTTTAGAAAGGTACTGCTCTTGAGAGGGGCGGCCCAGGCCAGTGTTGGCGCGCGCCGCCTTCAACGTTTGATGGGCGGGGCCACCCTATTACCAGGCAACGTGGGCGGGGAGTGATGGAGAGGGGCGCACGCGAGCTCAGGCTGGTAGACTCGTGTGCGTGTGTGCCCACGCTGGTGTGGCATGAGGAGCCCCAGAGGTGATGCGTGTGCAAGTGTGTCTCTGTGATTATGTGGGGCTGGGAAAATGGGCGCGTAAGTCTCTGGGCAGGTGTGAGTCTGGGGTTTTGCATGTGAGTCTCTGGAGTTGTGTAGTCAGAGTTGTGTCCCGGAGCGTGATTGTGCAGGTGTGAAGGCTGACCGCATTTGGATGCCAGCTGTGTGAATGTGTGGCAGCCGTCAGAGCCCCTGGCTCCCCACCTCTGGCCTCCTGCTCAGAGGGGCTGGAGAGGTCATTGCCCTGAGAGGCTGGAGGAATGGGACCTGGTTTGACCCCCTGCAAAGTCACAGGCATTCACCCACCTCCCGATTCTATTGGATTCACCTCTGTGTGCTCCCTCCTTTTTAAACTAGGCACACTTCACAGAGCCTGCAAGATCTCTGCCAGAAGCCGCTTCTAGCCCACATCATTCATTCCCTTCATTCACTGCTCAGTGTGCACTTATTTATTCACAGATGTGGTCAGTATTGACAGGGGGGCCCTGCTTCAGGCCTCGTTCTGGGACAAACAAGGGCCACTCTCACTGCTTTCATTTATGTAAAGCAGACTGCAGGCCTAGAAATAGTTCTTGAAAGGAGAGGAAACTGATGTGTGTTTTGGAGTAGCAAGTGAGGCCTTTACCTATGTGTGAGGAGGGGATTGAAATGTGAACGCTGAGTGCTAAACCACTGGGGCAGGAGTGTAGGGACAATAGGTACACTGAAGGGAACAGGAAAAAGCTAGCCTCTGGTCTTAAGGGCATGCAGGACAGTTGAGGTGGATGGATGGGCAGTGGATGTTGGAGAGAAGTCTTATCATTTAGTAAACCAACAACTGCGCTCTGGCCAAGTCCTAAGTACATCTCCAGCCTTTGTATAATGCAGACAACCCCCACCCCACCCGTTTCTTTCTCTACCCCCCTTCTTCACCCCTTCCCTCCATTTCTCTCTTCCCTTCTCCTTTTCCCTTCTTTTCTTTTTCATGGGCATATTGGGCAAGTGCTCTACCACTGAGTTATGGCTCCAGTTCCTGTGAGTCATACTTTCTAACTCAGTGTGTGACATATAGCAAGTGCACTGACTGGAGTGGTGGGTAGTCTTGAGCTTGAGGGTGGGGAAGCTGTGAGAACACAGGTGAGAATGCAGGGGCAGTGCCCCATTGCAAACCTTTAGCTCTGCCCTAGGGTAATGGAAACAAGGTCTTGGAGCCAAGAGACAAGAAGTCTGTCCTGGCTGGGATGGCTCTCTGGGTGTGGTGGGAGAGCATTCCCGCCAAGTCCCCTCTCAATTCTAGTGAGTTTTCATCTCCTGCATTCTTCTAGTCTCCTGTCTCTGGATACCCGGGGGCATCTCAGGAGACAAGTCAGGGTGACCCTAGGTGACTTACATTGTGTTTTCACTGCTGCTGGGTCAGTTAAGCTTCCTATTTACAAGGGATTTTTCTTTCTTTTTTTTTTTAATTTTATTTGTTATTTTTATTTTATGTGTATGCGTGTATTGCCTGCATGTAGGTAAGTGCACCCGTGTTGTGTAATGTCTGCAGAGGTCAGAGTGTTGTGCAGTGCCTGCAGAGGTCAGAAGAGGCTGTCGGATCCCCTGGGACTGGAGTTATGGACAGTTGTTAGCTGCCATATGGGTGCTGGGATTCAAACCCGGGTCTTCTGCAAGAATAAACTCTTCTTAACCACTGAGCCATCTCTCTAGCCCCTGGGGATTTTTCTTAATAAAATAAAAGCAACATCAGTATACAACATTAAGTATATGTCTTATGCTGGAGATCTCCTTCCTCTGTCAGAATCTCTGGATACAATATATTGGTCCCTGGCCTGAGAGTTTCAAGGTTTCACTTCACTCATGGACTGGTGTGCTCAGTGCTGTTTAATGAAAGCATATTGTGTCCCATATATAGTTTAGACTTTGGGGCTGGGGTATGACTCAAAAGTAGAGTATTTCCCTATTGTGTTCAAGGCCCTGAGTTTGATCCTCATCATCTCAACAAACAAACAAAAACAATAGTTTTTTTTCAGTAGCCACATTATTTAAATAATAACAAAACATAGAAGAGGGGCTGAGTAGATGACTCATTTGATAAAGTGCTTGCTTTGCAAATATGAGGACCTGAGTTCAGATCCTCAGCACCATGTAAAAAGATGGGTGTGGCAGCATGTACTTGTGATCTAGCCCTGGGGAAGTAGAAACTGGACGATCCCTGGGGCTAGCTGGCCAGCCAATCTAGCAGAACTGGTTATGTCCAAGTTCAATGAGAGAGCCTGTCTCAAAAAATAAGGTGGAAAGTTATACAGAAAGACACCTAACATTAACCTCTGGCTCTACATGCATCCCACCCTCATGAAGAAAATACAAAAAGTTAAAAAAAAAGATTTTTACTAAAATGCAGTTTTCCTCACATAGCTCAGTTTTCTTATCTGCACATTCCAACAATTCCAGATTGAAAAGAAGTGTACAAGCTAAACATGTACATATTTTTTTTCTTATTATAATTCCCTAAACATGTGGCTTAGTAGCCATCCATACAGGATCCAGCATCTCCATCATGGTAGGATGGTTTAAAGCACATGAGGAGCCGAGTGTGGTGGTGTATACCTCTAATTCCAGCACTCAGGAGGAGGAGGCAGAGGCAGGCGGATCTCTATGAGATCATGTGGCCAGCCTTGTGTACATAGCGAGTTCTAGGTCAGCTGGGGCTACAGGGAAACCCTGTCTCAAAAAGACCAAAAAAACAAAACCCAAAACTATGTGAGGTTGTGCATGTTCTGTGCAGACACTACATCATTAACATGAAGGACTTGAGCATCTTAGGGTTTTGATGTCTGCAAGGGGTCCTGGAACTAGTCCCATATGAGAGTCTGTGAGAGAAGCTTATATTTTATTATTAAATTATATATAAAGGTATTTTACCATGTATGCTGCAGTACTCAGAACCTCCTGTGGCTGGTGACTCCTGTGCTGCCCTGAATGGCATAGCTATTGAGGAACATGCTCTAAGCCAGATCCCTGCTGGCCTGTTTCAGCTGATACAACAGTCGTATTTTTGCCTTTAGTGTAAAAAAGCCAAGAGTTGGGGGCAAGAAGTGGTCTGTTATAGTTATGGGCCAGTGCCCTTCTGTTCTTTATTTGGCAGCTGCAGGAAGCAAATTGAGCAGGGCCTACCCATATGTGGGGCACTTTTAGGACTCAGGGTACTGGTTTCTTAGAGCACCCAGGCTACAGAGCACCCTGGGATACTCAGAGCCAAGGTACCAGGGTCCAGATGGTCTTTTTTATGCTCAGCATCAGCTCCATTTTTCATAAGGACTCTTCTGCTCATGGTAGAGGATGGGTTGTGACATTTCTAAGCCTGACTCTTAGCATTAATAAGGCCAATTGAGGACCTGAAGTGTACTTGGTTCTTCAGAGATCTCTGAGAACTATGCTTCCAAGCCTGGGCTTCTCTCTTTCTTTGAAACAGTGTCTCCAGCATGAAATGGGGAAGTAGAAGCCAGGAGCTACCCTTATCAAAGAATCTTGCCCTTTGATTCCTAGGCCTAGAATTTCACATACATTCAATTTCTCTCATTGTTATGAGAAAAGCATGTTGCTTTCAGCACTTTGATATATAAAGCATGCATATATACAGTTATACACTATCTCAAGTGGAGGTCAAGGAGGGGTTCTGAGGGATTAAAGACAGATGCCCAGGCCACAAGAGAGCATATATATCAGTGAACTTGTTATTGTTTACATTATAAACAATAACTTCTTGGTTGCAAGGTTAGGTAAAAGTCTTTAGTCTAGATTTGTCCATATTGTAAAAATCATTCCTACAATGGGTAATGATGTCACCAACTCAGTGTAGGTGTCACAAAGTAGGATTCAGTTTTTTGATCTATCAAATGAGGTTAGGAACAAAGCTGTAGATAATGGTCTTCAGATTGTAAAGACCCTGGACTCAGGAAGCTGAGAGACTAGATAGGGGAACAGGTTTGTCCAGTTGCACAGCCCCCTGTACGATAGCTGTCCCCAAGTGCACCACTGGTGACCATATCTTGGTGAGAGATATGGTATATCTTGACTACTGTGCTAGTCAGCTTTCTAGTTCTGTGACAAAATACTTGAGAGAATCAATTTAAAAGGAGAAAAGTTTTATTTTTGGATCACAGTTTGAAAGGTTTCAGTCCATGGTCACTTTCTCTGTTGCTTTTGGGCTGGTGGTGGCATGGTACATCATGGGGGGGCAGTATATGTGTGACAGCATCTTCACCTCACAGTGGTCAAGAAGCAAAGAGAGAGGAAGGGCTCAAGGTCTTTCCTTTAAGGGCACTCTACCAATAACCTAACATCCTTTCACTAAGCCCCACCTCCTATACCAAACCTCACCTCTGTACTAAGCTCCACCCCCTAAGCCCCACCTCTTACACTAAACCCCACCTCTTATGCTAAGCCCCACCTCCTATAGAAAGGCCCCCACTTCCTCCCAAAGGTGCCATCAGCTGGAGACCAGGCTTCAACAAATGGCCTCTGGGAGCACCTCAGGTCAAACTATAGTAACTACCTTTCAGTGAAAGATGGTTGATTGTTTAAAAAAAATTTTGTGTTGAGCTTTTAAAATTTCATAGATTTCCCACTCAAATCCAGAGCCCCCCCCATCCATACCTCCCCCTATTTCCCCACTGAACCCTATGCACTCTGCCATACATGCTGAGTCCTATTCATTCAGGTGTTTATACCCAAGTGTCCTTCAGTGTAAATGTACCTACTGAACTCTAGTCAGCCCATCCATTGGTCATAGCTAAGTCATATTCTTCCTTGCCCAGC